TAAGAGCAGAGGGTTATTGGTTATAAATTGTTACTTATTCATTTTTGTATTAAGCCAAAAAAATTCTATATGAAAATTGATTTGTTTGAAGCAGGGTTTCATCAATAGTAAATTAATTTATATAGGGTTATCCAATTTTGCTGTGCATGTATGAAGTTTCAAACTTCAAATGAAACACAAAACGCCCTGTATTATTTTTTTTCTGTTAGATCTTTTCTTCCTGATTCTAAATATGAAGTGTGGCCAAGGAAAGATGGAAACCGGTCTGAAACTTTTTTTTTTACTTTCCGATTTTTTTTTACTGAAAAATTGTTTTTCAAAAAATGTACTTGTTCAAAATTCCAAGTAAATAATTTAAAATCCAAGGCCTACTGTAAGTTTGTTCAGACTCGAAAATCAAGAAAATCGTTCAGGCTGAAGAGACACAATGGCAAATACAAGGTACAAGAAAATTTGTAATTATAATTGTAAATCGTAACAAAAAAAAAGGAAATTGTATCATGTATCCATTTATTTTGGGTTACAGTATACGTGTTAAAATATTTTTGTCACTTGTACCTTGTATTCGTCGTGTTATAAAGTTTTAAAGCCTGTAACTTTTTTATTTTTGATCATACATAAAAAAATTTCGGGGGGTGGTACTTTATAACTTGACACCCAGTACCACTGGATTTTCAAATTTCATTGAAATGTTCAAAGCGTTAATATCCAAATACATAAACTGCTGGACACTTGAACTTACACATACAGATTTTTAGGCAAAATTCAAACTTTCATATTTTCGACAAGAATAAAGTTTTTTTAATGTGGTTTGTGGAGTTTAATAGCCTGTTTCTTCGGATAAAGCTACTTGTTGTAAATTTTTTATAGGACCCCAGGGTTGTGATATACAGGGCGATAAATTAGGTGATGTAAAAAATCAAAATGTTTGTGTTCGTGCCATTTCGGAAAAAAAAAAATTGTAGTCATTAGAATATGGTTTGTTACTAAGGTAAAATCAATACCTCTAGACGTTTTTGTCACTTTTTGGATTTAAGCCCTTTGGCCTTGGATATACCATTAAACGTCAAAATATGGCAACAAAATCTTTAAAATACCGTAATAGACCATAAATTCACTGCCAAAAAGTACAACGATAGTATAACGTATGCCCTCTAAGGTTCTGGTTACTATGCATAGGCTCGTCAACCTGCAAAAAAAATTATGCGGGTGACTGCAGGACTTGCGCTGAAGAAGTTAATTCTTTATTGTTCAAAACAAAAACGAGCTTCAGAACGATAGTATAACGTACGCCAATCATACCAATCGATATTTATGAATAAAAATCCATCGGAAAATCATCGGCATACGGTGTACGTGAGATGTGAGGATAGGCCCTATCATTCAAAAATGGCGAATTTTGAGGGCCCAGGACCCTTAGATCTCACTTACACCGTATGAGGATCGTTTTCCAATGGATTTTAATTCATAAATATGGATTCCTATGCTCGGCATTCGTTATACTATCATTCCAAAGCTCGCCTTTGTTCTTACTAATAAAGCATATTTACCAAAACCTCAGAAGGCATTATACTATCGTTGCCCTTTTTGACAGTGGGCCTACGGTTTATACATTGATATCGGATGCACAAATTTTGACGATTTTTTGAAAACCTCATTTTATGCAGATCTTCTATAATCTTCGTAGAGCACACGAACTTGTTTAGAGATAACGATAGCGTGCCAAAAAGACAGACTGGATTTGTTTTACTTTAAAATCGGTCAAGTTGGAGTTGTCATGTTATCTCAAAACAATTTCTTCCGTTTACCGAATGTGGACGTAACCTAATCTGCAAAAAAGTATATATATTATGTCTAAAATCAGTAATTACTCAACAATCGAAGAGATACCACAGTTAAATTGAAGTTTTTAGCTGTAAAATAATAAACGGATCTAGGCCTCCGGCGGCTTTTTGAACAGACACAAAACAGATTTTAAAAAAAAGCGGGAGAGAACCTGAACCTGAGACTTTCAGGTAATATAAAACGTTTGTTATGAAAAAGAACATTCTGATGTAAAAATATTTCATTTTTTATAGGCCAAAACTTTCTCACATTTTGGGACGTCAGGTTTTTGTGTTGTGGCCATCCATTCAATACATAGTTTTTAATTTCACTTAGTACAGGGTCAGACTCGTTAGCTTGTATAATTCTGTTCAGTTTCAGGTCTTTCAGCTATGACTGAAACAACTTTTAAATTTGAATCTATATACTCAGTATTTATCGATTCCTTAGAAGGTTTTCGACTTAATGTATAAGGGATTTGAAGGTATTTTCCTGGAACGAACGTTAAGGTAAAGCGATATTTAAGTAGCCTTATAGCAAGTCTTTGAATGCGTGGTGACATTTCGTCCAATGGTCCAAGAAGAGGACGATGATCAGTCTCGATTTTAAAATTTTCCTGCCCGCACAAATAATAGTTGAAACGTTCACAACCGTAAACAAGCCCCAATAGCTCTTTCTCGATGTGATTGTATCTTTGTTGAGTTGATGATAGAGACACGTTAGCAAACTCAATTGGGCGATTATTTTGGCTAATATAGGCTCCTAATCCATAGGGGCTTGCGTCTACGGACAGTGTTATTTCTTATTTAGGACTGAAAAATGACAAGGTAGTAGCCGATGCAACTAAGTCTTTCAGATTAATAAAGGACTTTTCTTTAATCGCAGTCCACTGCCATTCTGATTTATTGCTCAGAAGTGTACGAAGTGTATTTGTTTCATTCGATAGATTCGGCAAGAATTTTGAGAGATAAACAATCATACCCAAGAATCTTTGTAAATCCTTTTTATTTTTGGGTGATTCCATTTCTCGTATAGCTCGGGTTTTACGTTCATCTGGTGAGACACCACTCGCACTGATAATATGGCCAAGGAATCTGATTTCGGTAACACAAAACTTTGATTTTTCTCGATTTAGGGTTAATCCAGTGTTTTTAATTTTTTCAAGAACAGTATATAAATTTTGATGAGTATATCATCGAAATATGATAATACTCCTGGAACGCCCTCTAAAAGTTCAAAAATGCACCTTTGAAAAATTTCAGGAGCGCACGACATTCCATATGGAAGACGAAGGTATCGATATCTGCCAAAACTTGTAGCTATAGTGCATAGTCAAGGGGAGCTGCAAAAAGGCGGACGATGCATCTAGCAAGCTAAAATATTTTGCTCCTGCAAGTTGTGCAAATAATACATCTTGAGTTGGTATTTCAAAAATTTCTCGTTTTATGTATTTATTGAGAATACGAGGATCCATACAAATACGAATGTCTTTTTTATCTGGTTTTCGTACGACAACAATGGGATGGACCCAACCGATGGGCTCAGTAACCGGTACAATTAACTTTTCTTTTACCATTTCAGGTAGAGTACCTGCTTTGTACTGTGTTCTAGCCGATTTAAAAACATGCATTCATTTTTCGCGCCTATAAGCGCAAGTCGGCGCTGGTTACCGGTAAGCGGAAACCTGCTTGCACTGTGTTTGTACACTTACCGATACCAGAAAAAACAGGCTCATAATATTTTAAAACTTTTGGAAGATTATGATCCTTGTCAGAATATTTGTTATCACCTATATTTTTTTTACAGAATCAATATTCTCTTTTTTGAAACTTTCGGTATGACTTCTATAGCACGTATTGCATTTAGCCCTAAAATAGAGAAATGTTTTTCCGAATCCAAAACATAGAACAAAAAAGTGAAAGTTTTTGTTTTAAAATGACACTTCAGATGGATTTGACCTATCACATTTATTGTATGCCCTGAGTAAGACATTAATACCGAACAAACAGATTAAAGATTTTTAAGTGGTATTTTTAATAGATTAAAGTCCGAGATGATTAGCGTATTGACTTGGCTTCCTGTGTCTACTTTAAATTTAATGTCCACGTCAGAAATGTTCAAAATTTCTAGCCAGTCAATTGCATTAATATCTGAAGTTGTGATTGTCCACACAATTAAATTAGAATCAGATTTTACAGTGCTACATGCACCATCATAATCATCAGATTCACTGTCGTCATTAAAATTGAGTTCATCAAAATATTCAGTAATTTCATGAATTTTCTGTCTTTTTCTACAAAAATTTCTGAAATGTCCAGTCTGCTTGCAAAAACTGTAGACTCGATAAAGAGCGGGGCACTTACCTGACTCATGTTGCTGGCCGCAGTTTGTACAACCAAAATTACCTCTTTGTTGATTACAGTTATCATTTGCGTTATCATACCCAGATGCTTGACTACTATATTGTTTCAATCTACGGTTAGGACCATAGTTAGGCGCTCGATTATATCTAAATTGAACCACTACCATTATTTTGATTAAAACGTCTATTAATCACATTCACTGAAACCGAATCTTTACTAATTTCTTTTTGAGTTAACACACTTGTTTCCATGGATCTACAAATGCTTATAGCCTCATTAAGTTCAAGGTTTGGATATTGTAAAAGTTTTTTGGCCAATGGAAGAAAGACAGACAGATTTCAATGTCATCAACGCCCTCTTAAGTAAAAAATTCTTCTTAGGACGCTAGTATTTGGTTTTATACATATACATATAGGGTGTCCATTTGTACTGCTTTTCTTGCTTCAAGCAGATCTCAGCAGCAGATCCGCGTTCACTAGTTGTTAGCAGATCTTCCTGATCTTTCAAGCAGGTAGAGCAAGTTCAAATAAATGAACACTGTCATTAATTTGAGTCAGAAATACTTGCCATTTTTTTTGGTAGCCTTGAAAATTCCGACCTGCTGCTTTCAATAAATAACATACAACTTATATCTATAACCTATTATTGACAGTTAATCTATGGCAGTCAATCAATAATCACAGGAAACATATCAATAATAATGAAAAATCAAAACATGAATAGCTTATATGAGGACAGTTTGAAACATTTTAAAAAAAGAGTACTTATACTATTAAGAAACCCTATTTGCTAATATTACCAAATCCATTTTAGGCAACTCAAGAAAATTCCTCAACATGGAGAAACTTTTGGAAAAAGATGAACACTTTAATGCCCTTTATGTGGCCGAAAAAAGATTGTTGCCTGCAATTCCGTGTATTGTTCTGTATCATCTTGTTAGTAGCAGGCAGAGTTGTGAATTTATACGTGCCAATTTACAACAAACTAATTGTGGATTCCTTGGCGGAGAAAAATGAGAAACTGTCGTTTCGTTGGGACTGGATTTTGCTTTATGTGGGATTTAAATTTTTGCAAGGTGGCGGCACTGGAGGCATGGGATTATTGAATAATTTAAGATCGTTTTTGTGGATTAGGATTTCGCAATACACTACTAGAGAAATTGAGGTATTTTTTTTTTAAATTAAAACTTCTACAGTATCTTAAAAATCGTTTTCCAGGTTGAACTTTTCAGGCACTTGCATAGTCTTTCACTAAGATGGCACTTGAGCAGGAAAACTGGTGAAGTTCTACGAGTTATGGATAGAGGAACTGATAGTATCAATAACTTATTAAATTACATATTTTTTTCAATAGCGCCAACTTTAATAGACATTATTGTGGCAGTAGTGTATTTCTGCACTGTTTTCAACATATGGTTTGGTATGCTTGTACTTCTTACCATGATTTTGTATATTGGTAAGTGTTAAGCAAATTAATTTTGTTACAAATATTTGATTTTAATTGTTTAGGTGTTACCATATGGGTAACTGAATGGCGTACAAAATTCATAAGAAGAATGAATTTGGCTGACAATGAAACACGTGCTAGAAGTGTCGATTCTTTATTAAACTTTGAAACAGTTAAATATTATGGAGCTGAAGCATATGAAGTTTCAGCTTTTAGGGATACTATTTACAAATATCAGGTAACAATGATCTATGAACACTATCTATGAGCTTCAACATTGGTTTTTTTATTCAGGCTGAAGAATGGAAGTCATCTGTAACCCTCAATTTGCTAAACACGGTTCAAAATATAATAATTTGTGGTGGCTTGTTGGCAGGAAGTTTACTTTGTGCTTATATGGTTGCAGAAAAACATACCCTTACTTCTGGAGATTATGTACTGTTCGCCACTTACATTGTCCAGCTTTATGTTCCTTTAAATTGGTTTGGAACTTATTATAGGTAAATTGAAGAAAAAATGTATGAAGTAAATTCGTGGCTCTTGATTTTTTCTAATCAGGGCCGTAAATATAGATTCTAACAAGAGTTTTTTGTGTGTATCTGCTTGAAACACATCTAGCAAATACAAGTGAAAACTCTTCTAAGAAGAGGATATAGTATCTCTACCAGAATAATTTTGTCTTTGAAAATTGTTCTTTGCTATGATATCGCATCAAATTCATGATATTTTTCTAGAAAAAAATAAATAAAAATTTCAACATGCATTTGAGAATTCATAAAAGATAGAGGGCTTTTTTTGAACTTTTTTTTTCTTGAATTTACTATTTTCATAATTTCTCATCAATCAAATTGTTTGTAGATCCATCCAAAAGAATTTTATCGACATGGAAAACATGTTTGATCTCATGAAAGAAGAAGAAGATATTATTGACGCACCAGGAGCCGGACCTTTGGTGATCAAAAAAGGAATTGTAGAATTCAGTAATGTCACTTTCAGTTATGTTCCTGAAAGATTGGTTCTGAAAAATATTACGTTTTCTGTGCCCCATGGGAAGACTGTAGCTCTAGTAAGAATATATTTATGTTGTTCAAAAGCAATTTGTACTAATTGAATGGGTTTTTAGGTTGGACCTTCCGGAAGTGGAAAAAGCACCATAATAAGGCTACTTTTTAGATTCTACGACATTGAAACAGGTTCTATTATTATCGATGGGCAAAATATTAAAACAGTTACACAAGAATCTTTGAGGAGAGCTATAGGAGTGGTACCCCAAGATACTGTATTGTTTAATAACACAATAAGGTGTGTATTTATAATGATAATCTTTATACGAAAAAAATATTTTGACTTTTGCATCTTCCAAACCACCACATTTAGAACATAATAATGTGAAACGATTTTCTTAGATACAACATAAAATATGGTAGATTGGGAGCTACAGATGTTGATGTAATAAAAGCAGCGCAAGGAGCAGATATTCATAATAAAATTTTAACTTTCCCAGAGCAATATGAGGCACAGGTATGGATTTATTGAAGTTAAAACTGAATTTTCTCTTAAAAAAGTTTTTAGGTTGGCGAGAGAGGCTTAAGACTAAGTGGTGGGGAGAAGCAACGTGTAGCAATAGCTAGGACTTTATTGAAAGCACCAGCAATAATACTTCTGGACGAAGCGACAAGTGCTTTAGATACTCAGACTGAACGGAATATACAAGTTGGATTTTTTAAAATTTTCAAATACATTTTGTATTAATAATGAAACTTTTTAGGAATCCTTAAATAAAATGTGTGAGAATAGGACGACAATAATTGTAGCTCACAGGCTGAGTACTATTATTCATGCTGATGAAATATTAGTATTAAAAGATGGGGAAATAGTAGAACGAGGGAGGTTAGTAACATATTATAATCAAAAAATTATTAATATGAAATCGGAGTAAAAACAAAAAAGTGTTTTTAATGTAATTTTTGTCATATTTATGTCTTAGCCCGTGTTTATGTTGGAGCTGTGATAAACGATAAAAGCAACGATACTAATGATACTATACATTAGTATTGTTGCTTTTATCGTGTATCACAGCTCCAACATAAACACGACCTTAAGAGGGGCGTACAACTGATAGTGTTCTTGCAGGCCTTTACCCGTTTGGAAAATAACAGTCTTACCTTAAGTGTCATTTTTTTTTTGTTTTAGACACGAGCACCTGATTGGTCGAGAAGGTGTCTACGCTAACATGTGGAAGCAGCAGCTTGACAGCAAAGAAGCTTCCATAGAAAACAGTTTAGAGCAAAGTACTGCTTCATGAAGCTAACCTAGTAGTAACCAAAAAAAGACTACGTTCATAGTAATTAGACAAAATCAGAACTCGATTGACTGATTTGTTTTTGAACAAACCCCGGTTAAAATATAAAATTGATATTTATTGATTAGGATAATAAATTTCACGCAGTGTGTCATTTAACAGATAAGTACATAAATATACATTATGTATTTAGATTGAAAGCAAAAATATACAATAATATGTGAAATCAATTATTATATTATAGCCTACACACTGTAGATATTAGTGTTTTTTTTTTTTTTTTTGGGCTTAAGTAGTTTTTAAATTTAAGTTAAAAGATGATATATTTATACTTATTCCTCATTGGCTGTTTTTTAGTTAAGTTATAATTGTGGGATTTACAGGGAGGTATGGATTGGAGTAGGATTCGAAAAATATTGTATTCTCAAAAATAAAATAGGTATTTTTACCTATGTATGTATATATTTATTGTATTATTTTTAATTGGAAATAAATATTTAACTGTTCTGGATATAACTCTCCTTGGCAGTGCCTATGTGTATTGTGTATTCTTTTCGTCATACTGTTCTGTTATTGTTAAACGTACCTCAAACAAGATAGCTACTTAAAAGTTTCATAGAAACGCTTTTAGTTTCTACGAAACTACAACCGTTCTTATGGGAAAGTAGGTACCTACCTATTATTTATCAGATAGAAGCAGAAAAAATTTTCAAAAACGAGATTTACTCAGATGCATTAGAATGGAAGAAGGATCTGCAGCAAGTCAGGATTGTTCCCTACAGAAAACGAAGAAAGATATCAGAAGGAATAAGATAATTTTGTTGAAAGATGCCAAAACAAGAACATAAACTTCATCATCAATTCCTACAGTTTCAGGTTCAGTATCAGCTCTGCGAATTCAAAGTATCCTCTGGATAGATTACAAATCTCATGATAGAGCAACAACGTTCCTTCAGCATGGGGGTTGAGGCATCAGACTGGTTCTCTAATACTCGGAAAAATACAAAACTACCAAAAAACCTAAGCGAAGCCTCGGAACATTGGACGGATCACCAAGACGATGAACACGGATATTATTGCATCAGAAATTGAAGATCGATTTAGAAGCACTAACCAAAATCAAGAAAAAAGGAAGTGACACCGAAAATGTTGGAGAATATATTCACCTTTTTACTGGAGTGTTAAAGGAAATGAGAGCAGCTAGAGGGGTATCCATACTGATAATGAAAAACGGGAAAAACAAAATTAACAACTGGGAAGCTGTAGATGAAAATATCATAACGGTCAACTTGAAGCTACATGGCTATAACATAACCATTATAGCAGCCTACGCTCCATCAGAGGACGAAAGAGTCGGCAACAAGCAGGAGTTATTTGATAAATTGGATGAAATCCTAGTAGATATTGGATTGGAAGAAATAGAGAAATCATAATGATAGGGGATTTCAATGCAAGAACGGAAGGGACGAACAATAGCCCAGTTGTAGGATCATTTGGAGAAGAAATAATCAATGACAATGGCCAAAGGCTCATACATCTCTGTGAGACCCACAATCTTAGAATAAACCTATGGAATAAACAATGGATTTTTCAAACACAAAGTTATTCACCGCTACACATGGATACAGAATACCTGTAACCTGAAAACTATTATTGACTATGTGATAAGCAAACAAGAAACAAACGTAGAGATAAACGATGTAAGAGTTCTAAGAGGAATAACTTGCGGGTCAGAACGTGGTTAACTTGTTGCAAATAGTCAGCCTTGCGATTGCTGCGCTATGGTGCTAGTGAACACGTACTCTGTTTATAAGCTAAAGCATTTCACGATTTTTAATTCCTAAAATAGTAAGACTTGTGACACCTATATGAATACGATTAACCGAAAATAAATCCTTTTGCCAAAATATACACTTCAATGGCTAATGATTGTGAAATTTTGGAGTATTAAAAAATTATGGTTTTTGAGATTTTAATTTATTTTAAAAAAAGTGTGACGTTGCAAGCCACTCGCAGGTGTCTTTGCCTATATTTCTTACCGTTTTTGGTTTTTGAGATCAAAATATGGGTCGAATCTACAAAAAAAAAATATACAGCTGGCACTACAAAAACTATAATGAAGATAATGTAAAAGAAGCAGTGCGAAATATTTTAAGCAATGACTTAAGTTATTTTGATATTTTGATATTAAATCGTATTTTTTTTGTTTCCAACAATGAAAAAAAAGAAATGGTAGGTACCTACCTACCTTTTTTAAAATCATATTTGAAGGCAAACTAACCCATATAATAGTCTTACATTTAGATTTAGGTGGTTTTAAACGCGTTGGCAAAGTGTCACCAATTTGTAGGAGACTTTGCCAGATTTTTAACAAAAAAAAATAAATAGAAGCAGTGCTTTCTAATTGTTTGTGTTTACAGGGATCTATAGCCAGAACATGGAATTTATACATAGTCTATGTAGCCATACAAATTGCTATATCGGTTAAAAAAATATCAGAGAAAAGGTCTGAAAACCGTGGCAAAGTATACCGACACTACGGTATCACATTCGACAATACCGGAACAGACGTGAAAAAATGAAAAAGTGTTAAAGCTAAAAAAGTAATAGGATGCCTGAATGGAATATTATGGAGCAAGGAAATAACAAAGAAGAGAAAATTCAGTACATACCAGACAATGATAAAGAAGGAGCAGCCTTCTATATGGAGCCGAGACTAGAAGAATTACAGACAGACAAAAGAAAAAAGTTGAAGCAGTGGAAATGGATGCGAATCCCACAAAGAGAGACAATAAGGAACGACAATATAAAACAACAAATGGGAATAGAAGGCACGATAGTTCAGGAAATTGAAAGAATAGTATATTGTTGTATTAGGAGTAGAAGCTTTACTTTTTTGTGCTGAAGCAGTAGGTTTGCGAGCCGAACGTAGTGAGGCTTGCAATACTGCTGAAGCACAAAAAAGTGCTTCTACTCCGTATGCAACACGCTATTTTTTCTCCAAACAAATGGGGTAAGCTCGGGGATAACTGAATGGTTAAGCGGCAGTAAAAGTACGAGCGGCACTTAAAGTACTTTTGCTGCCGCTGGGGTTGCCAAGCAGCATAGAAATTAAATTTCTACCACCTCTACTGGTGTTAACCTGCTGGATTTGCCTACCAGCATAGAAATTAAATTTCTGACATCTTGACAGAGGTTAACAAAGTGGCGTTTTTTTGACGTTTGGAGAAAAAACAACTTACCTGGTTGTTATGAACACGTAGATCGAATGCCAAATGCCAGGTGGCCCAGAAAAATGCTGCATTGGCAACCATCCGGTATAGAAGAAAACGAGGAAAACCAAAACTGGAATGGCAGAAGACAAAAGACCATACAAAAATCCATGAGTGAAAGAAATCTCTCATCAGAGGATTTCGACGATAGAAGAGGATTAAAATTAGGTGTCGGACAACGAAGAAAGATGTTCTTAAACCACACCTATACATTATTATGATAGAGCAACAGCGAATAATTCAGTAATGGTTGGTACCTATATGACGAAGCCGTGAAATTTGCAATTTGTACAAAACTTCTAAACGGTCGCCGGTCGGTTGAATATGTTTCTTGGACCTTTTTTCAGTGTCTCTGTTTCATTAGGGTTTTCTTAATTCGTGTCTCAAGCTTGAAGGATGTGATGTAGGTACCTATACCTAACCATTTCTCAGTTTATTAATATTCTATCATTATCATATGTAGGATTCAAAATTTTGACAATCCTTCCAGATAACAATACAACAGGCATATAGGTAAATGAAAATTGAAAAGCAAATTTGTATAAGTATAGGAAGGTATACCGTATACCCCTAGATAATAGCAAATCATTGAGTTGTTGAATCTCGAATTAATGTGTTAATATTTACCTACTTATCTATTTTATGTAATTTTGACGTCAGACATAAAAATACAGGGTGGGGACTTTAACTGGAACTAATTCGCTAGAGCCTTCGGATAAAATATGTCGACAAAACGCAAAAACACGTCGATTAAGATTTTTTGCTTAAGATTTTTTAGCATTAATATTTTTATACAGGGTGTTCCAAGAACAGCTGTATATGGTTCTCAACTTCATTTTTTTAAAGGCAGCCCCTGTATATTATGATATTTCTGGATTCTGTGGAAAATTCTAGACATATTTCATGTACAATGTCATATACCTATCTGCAACTGTTTCGGAAATATTGACAGTTGAAAATTGACCTTTTTGCATCTTTGACAGACTGTAAAACCTAAACGGTTGATTTTACAGCAAAACCGATTTTACATTCTAATCGTAGATTTTCATAAGCTATCATTTGACACCAACTTTGAATTTAATCTGAGATTAATAATTCGAGCGGAATTTTTAATCATGGATTAAATTCAAAGTTGGTGTCAAATGCTAGTTTATGAAAAACTAAGATAGGAATGTATGATCCGTTTTACTGTAAAATTAACCGTTCAGGTTTTACAGGCTGTCAAAGATGCAAAAAGGTCAATTTTCAACTGTCAATATTTCCGAAACAGTTGGAGATAGGTATATGACATTGCACATGAAATATGTCTAGAATTTTCCACAGAATCCAGAAATGTCATAATATGCAGGGGCTACCATTTAAAAAAATAAAGTTGATAACCATACAGCTGTTCTAGGAACACCCTGTATAAAAAAATTAATGTGAAAAAATCTTAAGCAAAAAATCTTAATAGACGTGTTTTTGCGTTTTGTCCGCATATTTTATCCGAAGGCTCTAGCGAATAAGTTCCAGTTAAAGTCCCCACCCTGTATAATACAATTAAGTGCATGGAAATAATCAGATCCAACAGAACGTGGTAGGTATACCTACTAATTGTTCGAAAAGCAAGGATTTTCTGGGAAATGTGTAAAAATTGAATGAGAGAATGTACCAAAAATGAAGAAAAGTAAGTGCTTATGGAAGATAGCGAATAAATAAAAGGAACAAATGGGAAAAGGACAAATTGGATTCAACCTGACAAGAAGTTAGAAACCCCTAAAAAAGTGAAAATTTCCAAGAAAATGGATATAATATAGGAATACATATTCAAGAATAGGGAACAAAAAAAAAATAATTGAGATTAAAATTATAAAAATCAGGCCAAACCAATAATGATACCGAGGATAGGTTTTTTCTTTTCATGATTCTATAGTAGCATAATGTAGGTACTAAATTTCTAAGTTGTAACTCTATAGGTAATAATATAAGCATTTAGCTGAATAAATAGGGCAACTCAGTTTTTCGCAATACATGGATATGTGTAATTTTTTTTCTAGAAACTCGCTCGACAAATTTGAGAGGCTGCATTTGTCATCTAAATAAGAGATAGAGTCCTCTGCCTGTCCAAGTAACACCTTCGATTTTTAGAGATTCCAATTGTTCTAAAATCTGGTCACAGGTCTGGTATTTTGGATTTCTTCTAGGAAATTCTCAATGAATCCAAAAACAACCAATATTTTAAATACTTAGGAGGTACCTTTTTGGATACCTACTTCCAGATTTTTCATAAGAATT